ATCCTCAGACACCCCCTAAAACTTCGCCGACACGCAGTCCTCGTCGGTCCTCACTCTCTCTCTCTAACGACTGCCAGAGACGGGAAGATAACCCACCATCAACACCTTCAGACCTAACAACCCACACTCCGGCCACAAAAATAGGCTCCAACCCACCGCAACGACGACCCAAACTACCGAAGGAGCAAACAACGACGATGGATCTCCACGGTCAACACACGGAAACACAGGTAACATTCGTCGTCCTACACCACACCAAACCCACAAACTCTGACCTGATCCTTCACATGCACGCACACACGACACCTTCTGCACACCTTCTTTTACTCACAAACAAAATCAAAAAGTTTTTAACTGGAAAAACTCACAAATCCTTCAGATCTGATATATTTTTAATTTTACTTGCTTGTTAAAGTGAAATATAATCGGTCAAACTATTTTCAGTGACATATGTGGTATTTTGTAACAATAATCGATCAGATCTAAAGATCTGATTATGTGGTCAAAGAGTCATTTCATGGAAAAATAATTAAAACAGATCCTTTTTCACGTTAACAGAGCACTAAAACTGTTTTATAAAAAAAAAACACGAATTCAAAAAAACACTTACAAAACCCATCAAATATGTGCTTGCTTGAGGTTTTTTTTGGATTTTGTTAACCATGCTATCAAAAGTGGCTGACAGCACATAATAAGAAAAATATCTACTATGTATATTTTTTTCTTCAAACAAAAGTTTTATCTTTTTACTCGGTTTAATATTCATTCGTTAAGTCATTAACACAAAATGTGACATCTAACGAAAACATAGGTTCTAAAAACCTGCTATTAGAGATCATAAAATGTGATTTTTACGTTTATTAAAAATTAAAACCATACTAATTTTTTTTGAATATTAATTCACCAGAAAAAATAAATCTGGCAAAAAATAACATACAACCCGGTTTTTTTTCCGCAATTTTAATTGTTTTTCAGACCTATGATAAACCTTATTACCGAATTAATAATAAACTTTTTAAAACTTCAATTTTTTCCTCACAAAAAAACATCTATTCAAATAATTTTTAATTATACTTGGAAGCACGCCCTTTATACAGATTTGGGTGGGTGTAGCCATCCTTTTTCCTCACAACTAATTTTTATTTACGAATTACACCTTTTTTTTGAAAAGGTAGTACACCTTTATTATAAATAGAGAAGGATCTAGAGACAAAAAGAAAAGTCTAGGACGGACCGCTTTACCGACCCAAATCTGTAAATGCTAACCACCCGACCATTCATAAAACTTTTAATACCCCCACCCTCCCAATCCCAACTCATCCAACTTTAATGCCTCGTAACGCCAACCTATATCTAGAGCATATCAAAACTTTAAAAACTTCATTTTTTTTAAATGACAACAACGAAATTGCAGATAAACACCACAAATTTTCTACGAAACCAAACCTAAACCATATGAAATATATGCTCTATTGCATATCAACGAATTAAATTCCAATAGTTACTGCCTATTACGTATGCAAAAATCCAATGTTTGTATTTCTTATCCCAAACCTCTCCTACCTCCTAAATTCAAATCTTTTATCTGAAATGGTGTGAGAAAATGGGCCAAAGCACCAACACATGTGACATCTACACCCAGAATATTATTTGTTACTGCACACTATTTGTTCATGACAGCACACCAACAGATATCAAGAAAAATGCAGAAGACATCATGCGTAAGAAATGGTAATACGTAGTAATTTATTTCGTTAACTCATGTCTCATTATTATTTATTAATTTGTCATTATTTATCTATATGTATTATATGTCCACAAATGTTTGTACTTCGTATTTTTTTTAAAATGTAATTATAAGAACTACCTAGGTGAAACTAATTGCCATGGATATGCCAGCCAATCAGGGGGTGATATATGTTATATTGTCTGATAAAACCGGTGTTTTCTTGAACATTTGTAAATTCTGCCAATTATTTTTTTAAAAATGTAATTATAAGAACTGCCTAGGTGAAACTAATTGCCATGGATATGCCACCCAATCAGGGGGGTGATATATGTTATAATGTCTGATAAAACCGGTGTTTTCTTGCACATTTGTAAATTCTGCCAATTATTTTTTAAAAAATGTAATTATAAGAACTGCCTAGGTGAAACTAATTGCCATGGATATGCCAGCCAATCAGGGGGTGATATATGTTATATTGTCTGATAAAACCGGCATTTTCTTGCACATTTGTAAATTCTACCAATTATTTTTAAAAAAAATGTAATTATAAGAACTGCCTAGGTGAAACTAATTGCCATGAATATGCCAGCCAATCAGGGGGTGATATATGTTATATTGTCTGATAAAACCGGTGTTTTCTTGCACATTTGTAAACTCTGCCAATTATTTTAAAAAAATTTAAACTTAGCGATTCACTTCAAATCATTATTATTGATTATCTTCCAGCATACATACATTGAAATTATTGTTCATAAGTTATGCGGATTTAAATTTGGACTTGCAGGGATTTGTCCGCCGTTTCCTATATTTCGGCTTTGAAGAATCCCTATGCGTAGTTTTTCTTTAAAATTTTGTTTTGATCTTGTGTAAGTAAATGTAATAAATAGATGTAGGGTAGATTTAGGGCAACACATGCTCCTCCGTAAAAGATAACAGGTATGCCTCTCCATGCACAACCTCCTTTTGCATCTCGTTATATACCTTTACCTTAATATGTGCTGCATTACATTGATGCAGCCAAACTGGTTTTCTTAATACACCTTTCTTGAATTTTTCATATTAACAGAATGCAAAGCGCCAAAAGTTGCCCTTAAGTTATACACGAATAAAATATCCGTGGACACTTTACAAAACAAAGACATCCATGAAATCTGTTATATATGCATTTCAGTTCAACAAATTAAACAATGTGCAAATTACGCAAAATCTGTTATATATGCATTTCACCTCGGATCTTGTTTCCATTTTATCCATGCATTGAACCCTGATATTTAACACAATGTCAATATAATCGCTTTTTAAAAGTAAAAGCTAGGGAACATAAGAATGAATAATAAGCGCCCTAACCTCGTCATGAAAAGTTGAAAACAATCTTCAGTGATTTTGGAAAACATTCATGACTCATGAGCTAGTTCTGGATCGATCTAGCTTTGATTGCCCAGGTGGTATTGCTCTTGTCGATCATAGCATTTTTTAGATTCATGTTTATGTACTTTTGATTTGGAAGCAATGAGATGTGGGGGTTTGAACATCAGGGTTGTTCTATTTATAATAGAACTAAAGCCAGACAATTCTTGCGTTTAGGGGGGAAACTGTTCACAACAAAATTTGAATTTTAAACTGATACGCCAAATCCCCCTAAAATCTGTCCCTAAAATCTGTCCCATAGATCTGTCCCAGTTTCGTAGTAAAAAAAATGTTTAACAAAAAATTTGGCCAATGAAAAACAATCAGGTGTGAACGAAATCCCGGATGAATCTTTACTGCTGCGCACCAGCTCACTCAACCAAAAGCAACCAATGAAAAACCACTTGGGAGATTTGGAAATCGAAATCAAATCAAACAGTAACCAAAGGCATATCATCCACACGTTTTACCCAAAACACTCCATGCGCAACCCAACTTTATGAATTTTTAAGCATTACACAGTCATCAATCAATCGTATATGAATGAGCAATTTACCCTAACCCTTTGAAAGTGACGTTTCTGAGCGGGAAATTCAGGCCCCAAAACATTTTACTTTTAGATTATAATAGATATCCAGTGTTCAAAATGTTATCTTATACGTAGTATTTGATCGTAGACCAAAATTATATTATTTATAGAAGGATCACTTCTCAACACAAAAGCTACACATATGTACGTACCACACACAAGGAGGATGGTGAAGAGCACAACTTTGTTACACGAAGCCATAATACAATTTCTTAAAGATTATATATCCTATTGAGTTACATGCTAGCTGCTATTTATAGGCAAAACCGGGGGGGGGGGGGAGGGGGGGTGCAAAATTGAATAATAGAGAAAAAATACTTCAAGTTTATCCTATTGCATGAGTTGCACGATAATTAATATCATTCTCTTATCGTCAAATTTGACTGCCTATATTATATTACTAGCCTATCTTATTTCTTTGGGCAACCATTGACTATGTCCAGGGTTTGACTTCTTCCGGCCTTGATGCATTTAAGATTATTACAACCAGCAGATTTCATTGACTAATGCAACTGCGATTTGCTCCAGAAATTATTTGAGTTGTAGTAGTTCAGCAATAGATGATAATGTGATATTTAAGCAGAAGGAATTTACATCATACTAATCTAATTTAATTTAATCTCATACATAAAAGCAAAAGAAATTGTTACTGTTCATTGAAGCCATTCTTCACCATATCTCAGCCATCCATTTCCCGTCTCTATCTTCACCATCTATCAATTCTGATTCGCAATTGACCTCCATTTCGCCTTCATTCATCCAGATCAATTTCACCAACGGGGCCTGTGTGAGATCAGTGAGGCGCTCCATTGCTTCCTCATTCATATCATTTCAACTCTCTGGATTCATCCCAAAAAAGTCATTTGACACGATACAAGTTTGACCATGGTGACATCTTACATTCCATCACAGGTATTTTCTCTGTGTTTCCATCTTTTGGTTTGAAGTTTGAACTTATTATTTCTCGACCCTCTGCATTACTTTCGAGTTTTCGAGTAACTGATTATAACTGAATTGTGGTTATATCACTGGAACTCTAAGGGAATCTTATTTTCTTGGGGTTAATTGGTATTGGAAGACTAACTTGATATTTTAGTTTTGCTATTGAACTGATATTGTTGTATTTACTTTTAGACAGTTAGTATTGTGCTTACATTCTCAACATAACTTCATATATTATGTATTGAAGAGTACCTATGGTCTTGGACTCTTAGATTCCATGAACTAAACAAAATAATTAGAAGTTTGAATTATGAGTTACATGAAAAATAATTAAGGCAATTCACTTCTCATTGTAATAATCAACGGAGTATTAGACACCAAGCTGAGGCAGCTATATAAAGTAACTACCAAAATCCTTGATTACAAAAATGAATTTGATTACTGACTGGGAGTCAGATAACACAGTTCAGCTCAAATTGATCATCTAAAATGGAAGGATGACAATGTATAATCCATGAGCAACAACAAGAGAGGATAAAACATGAAAAGAATGAAAACAGAATAGCTGCAAACCTCACTTCTCTACTGTACAGAGCTAAGAGTTTCTCCCCTTTAGGAAAAAATTACTACAAATCTTAGCAACCAAAGAATGAGAAAAACCCACGTTTCTTGGGCTTTTCTTCTTCTTCCAAAACAGCTTCCATACTATCCTGCTCAACCAACCTCCAGGCAGCTTGCTCAAATGCAAGCCCTGCCAGTGAAGGTGGCTTGTTCAATACCAGTGGATATCCCCTGTTCGTACTTCTGATCACCTCCGAATCTTCTGGAATCGCCCCCAACAATGGCAAACCCAGCATTTCCTGCACATCAAGCACGGACATCATGTCTTCCCCCTTGATCATATCAGTCCGGACTCGGTTCACAATCATCTTAATGTCTCTTATTCCATCACATTCCAGAAGCCCCGTCACCCGGTCTGCATCACGGAGGCTAGTGATGTCCGGCGTTGTCACCAGCACAGCCTCATTCGCGGGAGTGATTGCCGTGATGAATCCGGCATCTATTCCTGCTGGACAATCAATGAGGATGAAATCCGGTACTCCTGTATCCCGTGCCTTTAGGGAGTCTACAACCCACACCAGCGCTTTCCCGCCGAAACCAATCGGAAGTTTGGATCTAGGTTTGGAGATACAGAGTAGCTCGAAGTTGGACCACCGCTTGTCTCGGACGAGAGCCTGATCGAGCCGGCAATCGCCGTTGAGAACCTCGACGACGGTGTAATTGACGCGGTTCTCGAGACCGAGCAAGAGGTCGAGGTTGCGCAAACCGACGTCAGCATCAATGGCGACGATGGAGAACCCGAGGCGGGCGAGGGAGAGGCCGATGTTGGCGGTGGTGGTGGTCTTGCCGACTCCTCCTTTGCCGGAGGTGATGACGACGACTCGGGGGGGTTCTCCGGCGAGTTGAGGCTTCCGGTTGTACTGCAGAACTGCTCGTGCCGCGGTGGTGGTGAGTGAATAGGGTTTGGCGGATGGTTTTAGGGTTTTGGATGCGATTGGATTGGAAGGGATGAAGGTGGAGGAGTAGAAGTTGGGATATGCGAAGTGGAAGTGTTGTTGAGATATCATTGCTTGAATAATGGCTGGAAAAGAGGGAATTTGAAGTGATTCACGAGAACTTCAGGGGATGAAGAAATGGAAGCATGGCGATGCTCAGGCAAGAAATTCGCCAATGTTAATTTAATTTTAGAAATTGCCCTAATTTTGTTGTACGGAAAATTTGATTCAGACAGCAGAAAATTCTTTTTATTTTACTAAAAACCAGAGAATTCTTATGCTCTGATTGGACATTGGATGGATACAATGAGAATAACAATGTTTATTGCTCCTTCCAATTTCCATCTCATTTTATTTGTATACTTTTGACAAATACCTAAATAAAAGTAATTGTAGCTAAAAATCACAAATAGCATCACATTGTTTTAAATTTTCTAAATATGATTAATTTATCTGTTTGGACAAATATGCACATGTAGTTTTAGGAATAATATTTAATAAAATTAATATTAAAAAAATGAAAAAAATAAAAATAACAAATACATAGTAAAAATTAGAAGAAGAAAATAGACCTATGCCACCGCCTCCATCCCCCAGCATAACCAGCTCCGATCACTAGAAAAATGCTAACAACCATTAGTAATGTCATATTAATGACAATTTCGGTGAAAATTTGGCATTACCAAAGGTAACAATGTCTTGGCATTTTCAACTGGTATTTATTTTTACACAAAATGGAATTTTTTTTTATCAATTAGAGGTAGTGGTGTTGGGAGGCGGTGGGAAAGGCATCCTTATTTTTTAATACTCCGTAGTTTTTTTATGTTTTTTCACTATTTTATTAATTTTTTGTTTATTTATTAATTCTAAAAAAATATTGTATAAATATTTTATTAACAGAGATTGCTTACGAAATATAACATAAGAAAATGACATAATGACAATTAAAATGATACTTAAGAAAATAACATAATTAAAATTACAATTAATAACACCATTTTCCAAATATATGGACGGCAGTATCTAAGAAGACCTAATGACAATGACATAGCGAGACTTCTTGACATTAGAAAACAACGTGGATTTTCATGAATGTTGCTTGATTGCATGCATTGGAAATGTTGATTATTTGTGAAATATTGATTATTGTACTTTAATTAGTGAAATGCGTAAAAATACATATTAAAATGTTGTATTTTAGTTTGTTTGTGTGAAATAATGTGTGAAATGTCAAAATATTAAATGAGTCTACAACAATTGAAAGTATGAAAAGGTTTTATCGATCTATTTTCCAAATATATGGACGGCAATATCTAAGAAGACCTAATGACAATGACATAACGAGACTTCTTGACATTGGAAAACAATGTGGATTTCCAGGAATGCTGGGGAGTCTTGATTGCATGCATTGGAAATGTTGATTATTTGTGAAATATTGATTATTGTATTTTAATTAGTGAAATGCGTAAAAATACATATTAAAATAGTGTATTTTAGTTAGTTTGTGTGAAATAATGTGTGAAATGTCAAAATATTAAATGAGGGGCTAATGTATAAATATATGATAATTAGATACTTAAATAGAAGAATGATAAAAAGTTAGTAAAAAGCATAAAAAGAGAATATTCCTTTTTGGTGATGAAAATGGTGTAAACTGTTGGAGATAAAATACTGTTTGATGTGATGTTTACACCATTTTAGTGTAAAAAATGGTGTAAACTGTTGGAGATGGCCGTAGGGGAATTGGACTTTGCACTATTATGAAAATCATTAATCTTCACACCTCGTATATTTTTTTCTTTATTCTATTAAAAAAATTAAAAATATTTTATTTCATAATTCAGCCCATTTAGGCGCTTCAAGCAGAATTTAAGCAATTTCAACAGATTATGTGTCAATTTTAGTGTTATCAAACAAGTTCAAACCAATAATAATACATACTTACAAATGATATTTAATAATACTAATTATTTGAATAAATAACCAAAGTGATGCAAAATCATTTTCCACTATAAGTTTAATCATTTAAATAGACAAGGATTGATATCAAAATATCAACAAGTAACATATTTTAAAATACCATTTATTTAACGCTTTGATGTCAGTTTTTGAAATATTAAGATCATGTTTGGTAATACTCAAATTGACTGTATTGTCTGATTCTGCTGAAATTTATGAAGTTGTGACTGAAGTGAATGGATTGACTGATTTTGCTGATTTTGGAAACATTTATATTTAAAATGTAATTTATTAATAAAATAAAGAATAAATTATATGAAAAATAGCTAAAAATTATCATCTACGTTAATTTCGGCCAATACAGCCAGAAAAGTAACTCTAACCTTACTTTTCCTTATTGTTACACAATTCAGCCCGTTAAATCAAAAGTTACGTGTTTGGTGGAAAAGTTGGCTGATAAGCCTGATAAGCCGAAAAACAGGCTCATCAAACGGGCTCTAAGTGATTGGTTTTTCATCGGAAGGTAAGGGCATACTATTATTTTTTATGTATTTAAATGGTCAATATTATTAAAAATCATTTCCAAAATGTGTATGATTAATGAACAATCAGTGATGGTTTGTTATTATTTTAAATTATTTTTCCATTTTCAAAATTTAACATTTAAATTTTAAAAACTGAGTCGTTTATGTTAAATTGGTTTTGGTTGGTATAATGGTATGGTGTACATTTGAGTCTTGTTTAATTGAATGGCTTTCACAAAATGTGAAGATTTTTTTGTGAATAAATCGTCTATATTGATATAATATACTTTTTTTGGACTGGGACAGGATATATGGGTTATGTACCTATCGATTTGATATGTGATAAACAATTCTTATATTCTTTCAATTCGATCCTTATCAGCTTTAAAATAGAGGCATAGTCAAATGTTTTTATTTGGATTCAAGTTTTTCTGAGTTGATTTAATCTATTTAAATCTTTTTTGGTCTGATACACTTTTTATCTTTAAATATTTTATTATAACTATAGAGGTATCTAGTTAAATATTTGGAGACTTAAAAGAATCTAGTAAAAACATTGTACGTACCCCTCGACCCATCCACAATTTAAAACTTGAACATCAATGCTAAATTGCTAATCTAATCACGACACTTTGGTTGGCTGTTTGCTATCAATTCCAACCACGTCATTAAATATATGGAGTATTCAAATTGGGCAACTTTTGTTAAGTCGATTTGGTTAACATTAGTGCGCTCCAAACACGATTTGGTACACCATCCGTAAGATATTAAGAATATTTGGATAAATCATGACAGGTTGTTTATTTCATCATGCAAAATATGATTTGTACACATGAGCTGATGGAGATTGAGAGTAGGAGACCGTTTGACAACACTATTTTTCGGCATATTGTTTTAGCAAGAAATAATTATTTCTTCTAACAATCAAAAATTAAAAGATGGGATCGAGCAAGATAATAATCAAAGAAATAGCAGGCTAAAATTATTCTTATGAACTTTGTTGCTGAATACAAGAATTGATAGTTGAAAGGTTTAATCAAGAATAATCGTAAAAAGCTTCGTATATCAATATTATATAGTAACTGATTGTGGACTCCCTCCCCTCTGAAATAATGCTCTCTATTTATACTTATAATTGATATAATGAATCTAACGTGCCTCACTTCCAGGCACTTCCCTCTCCTACGCCAATATGCCATGGAATTAGAGAATTTGTTAGCTAGTTCTACCACTCTGTTACACCAGCCAAGTCAAACCTTTAGGCATAGTGTTGGATCAATCCACTTGATTATATATTTGCTTTTGGGCTGGACTCCAAATTAATTTCTTGAATTATTTCGTGGCTTAACACATATCAGGCTTATTAGCCAACTTTTTCGCCAAACACGTAACTTTTGCTTCCGCGTGCTGAATTGTGTAATAAGCAGAAAAAATAAGATTGGAGTTACTTTTATGATTGTATTAGCTGAAATTACTATAGATAACCATTTTAGCTACTTTTACATATAATTTTTATTTTATTTTATTAATAAAATACTCCCTCCGTCCCAAAATTAACTTCTCACTTTCCTTTTCGGGCAGTCCCGAAATTAACTTCACACTTCAAAACTTTCCTTATTTAGAAAATAATCTACATCAAAAAAATGTTAAACAGTGCCAAACAATGTTTAAACAGTGCAAAACAGTGCACTCCACAGTAAAGTCAAATTTATTTTTTTAATCTGTGTGAAGTCAAAATGTCAGCTTAATTACGGGACGGAGGGAGTATATTTTAAAAATAATTTTTTCTTAAGTTAGCAGAATCAGCCAAAGCAGTCAGAACTTCATAAATTTCAGTAGAATCAGCCAAATCAACCAATTTTCGTGCTACCAAACATGCTCTAGGTATGGTGACCCCATTTTTAGCTTATTAGTATTGTTAGTCCATTTTTTTAATCAAGCATAATCTTTTTTGCGCTTAATGAGTTGTGTAATAGTCAAAACAAGTAAGATTAGAGTTATCCTTTGACTTAGTCATGGACCCAGTACGGTCTGACCGGCCCGCTACTGTGCGGGCCCGTCCTGGACCGGGAAACCGGTTCTGATTCCGGGCCTTGGCCCGGCCCGAGGGGGTAACCGGGGGTGGTTCTAATGCCTAAAAAATGCGAGCCGGCCCGACCGGTTTGGGCCTGGTTCGGGCCTATTTTTGGGGGGTTTGGGCTGGGTTTAGGTGGGTTGGGCTGGGTGTTTCCGAGGCGTTGGGGGGGGGGGGGGTTGAAATAAATAAAAAAAAAAACAAAACAAAAAAATGAACCGGGAACCGGATCGGCCCGGAACCGGTAGATCCGACCGGGCCGGGTCCGGTAGACCGGGCCGGTTCCGGGCCTTACCCAAAATGTTCCAGGCCCGGCCAGGCCTAGGCCCGAACCGGAACCAGACCAGGCCCAGTCCACCACTACTTTGACTGAACTAGCTAGATGACGTTACTATAAAAACTATTTTTCTCTCAAATAGACAATGATTCATAAAAAAATAGTGAAGGCAAGTCGTTCGCATGCACAACATGACAATAATTAAGAGCCAATTCCCTAAATAGGACTAAAAAGTGGCAAAATTGCACAAATAGGACTACATTTTTTAAATTCCCTTAATAGGACTATTTATGTGTGTTTGGACAAATATACCTGTTGAGTTTAATCCAACACGATATAGTAAATATATGTATAAATGTGTATGAACAAGCCATTTTTACGTGGAAACCCGGAAAGGGAGAAAACCACGGGACTTTTTAGGCTAATGTCCAAGCCCTCTCTTTCTCATTAGGACTCTCCTCACCATTACATAGTACATTTTGAGCTCCCATTAATGGAGTCTTGTAAGCTATTCTAGAGGAAGAAGGAAGAAGGAAGCCCTTTACATGGAGGGAAAACCTCCTATAAATAGGGGAAGGGGAGAAGGGGCTCTCCACCCTAATGGGCCAAACGGGCCAGAGTGGGCCCAAATGGCTAAAGTGGGCCGGATGGGCCGAAATGGGCCTAGCTGCTCGGGCTCCGTACTACGTAAAGCCTTGGACTCATGAACAGTAATAGGCCGGGATAATATATCCCAACACAAGTCCCCCAGTTTCTTGAGTAGTGAGCTCGCGAATCTGCTCGAGAAAATATACTCTGCCTGCGCTCTTCCTCTGTCTTGCTGGAAACTGTGTCTTCACATAATCATCATATATGAGTGAGTGTCTGCACTCCTGAACGTAATCTACCAGTGAGGCACCCCCCTTCCCGACAGGGTCGGGCGAAGGGTGCTCCTCCACGGGCACACTCCCCCTGAATGCATCAGGCGGGAGTAAAGAACTCTGACTCGAGCTTTCCAATCGGAGAAGCTTAGAGGTCCATCATCTATAAACCGACGTCGCGGTACTGTCAAAACATGATGCACGTGTGTATGTATGAATGTATGAGGTATGATGCATGAATGTATGTATGCATGTAATGTATGTATGTAATGTATGAGAGAGGGAATGCAAGATGTGATAGAAGCAGTAGCTCTCATCGATAACCCGGGCATGTCAGCGCCGAGAAGCAGACGCGCTGCGTAAGACGGGTCCCCCATCCGAGATGGCATGGGCGGAGCCGAAGGTGGACTAGACATGATGCCGCCGAGGGGCCAATCATGCTGCATACGACGGGTCCCCCATCCGAGATGGCATGGGCGGAGCCGGAGGTGAACTAGGCATGATGCCGCCGAGGGGCCAATCGAGCTGTATAAGAGATGTTCGTCGCCATCCTGGAAGGGATGGGCGAGCCGAACACGAGCCAGACACGATGGCGCTGGGGCGCTGATCGTGCTGCATAAGAGATGTTCGTCGCCATCCTGGAAGGGATGGGCGAGCCGAACATGAGCCAGACACGATGGCACAGAGGCGCTGATTGTGCTGCATAAGACGTTCGTCGCCATCCTGGAAGGGATGGGCGAGCCGAACATGAGCCAGACACGGTGGCACAGAGGCGCTGATTGTGCTGCATAAGACGTTCGTCGCCACCCTGGAAGGAATGGGCGATCCGAACGTGAGCTGGGTACGATGGCGCTGAGGGGCCGATCGTACTGCATAAGACGGTCGTCGCCATCCTGGAGGGAATGGGCGATCCGAACCGTGAATCAGGACACGATGGCGCTGAGGGGCCGATCGTGATGCATAAGACGTTCGTCGCCACCCTGGAAGGGATGGACGAGCTGAACGTGAGCTGGGTATGATGGCGCTGAGGGGCCGATCGTACTGCATAAGACGGTCGTCGCCATCCTGGAGGGAATGGGCGATCCGAACCGTGAATCTGGACACGATGGCGCTGAGGGGCCGATCGTGATGCATAAGACGTTCGTCGCCACCCTGGAAGGGATGGACGATCCGAACGTGAGCTGGGTACGATGGCGCTGAGGGGCCGATCGTACTGCATAAGACGGTCGTCGCCATCCTGGAGGGAAATGGGCGATCCGAACCGTGAATCAGGACACGATGGCGCTGAGGGGCCGATCGTGATGCATAAGACGTTCGTCGCCACCCTGGAAGGGATGGACGAGCCGAACGTGAGGTGGGTACGATGGCGCTGAGGGGGCCGATCGTACTGCATAAGACGGTCATCGCCATCCTGGAGGGAAATGGGCGATCCGAACGTGAGCTGGGTACGATGGCGCTGAGGGGCCGATCGTACTGCATAAGACGGTCGTCGCCATCCTGGAGGGAATGGGCGATCCGAACCGTGAATCAGGACACGATGGCGCTGAGGGGCCGATCGTGATGCATAAAAATAGTGATGATCTTCTCATGGCCCTCGGCCTCTCGCGGCCCTCGGCCGTGCTGGTGATGTGTCAAGTCTCTCTCCTGATTGGCTGTGAGAAACCGATCGTCTGCCAGGACTCCATCCGGGAAGGAATGGTGAGCCTGAAAATAAATCTGGGCAATGCCTCTCCTGTCTGAGCTGGGGAGCTAATCGTCGTTCGTCTACCGTATCCGTGGTCCTATGTACGGACCGCTAAGCGGTGTACACTCGGCACGCACAGACTCCGATAAAGAACTGGTTCTTCGTGTCTGATCCATGGAGCTGGTCTTCGTTCGTCTACCGTATCCGTGGTCCTATGTACGGACCGCTAAGCAGTGTACACTCGGCACGCACAGACTCCGGTAAAGAGCTGGTCCATCGTGTCTGATCCATGGAGCTGGTCTTCGTTCGTCTACCGTATCCGTGGTCCTATGTATGGACCGCTAAGCAGTGTACACTCGGCACGCACAGACTCCGGTAGAGAACTGGTTCTTCGTTCTTCCCAAGTCTCGTGAGTACTGGTCTCCTGGTTTCGCAGGAGACGTTCGTCATCCCAACTATGAGAAGGAACAGGTTTATCCACGTCGGGATTCCCTATTCTTCGTTCGTCCTTGTCGCGGTCCTACTAATCTTCTTACTTCGAAGAAGACGTTCGGTCAACCAACGATCGCAAGGAGGAACAGGTGTATCCACGTCGGGATTCCCTATTCTTCGTTCGTCCTTGTCGCGGTCCTACTAATCTTCTTACTTCGAAGAAGACGTTCGGTCAACCAACGATCGCAAGGAGGAACAGGTGTATCCACGTCGGGATTCCCTATTCTTCGTTCGTCCTTGTCGCGGTCCTACTAATCTTCTTACTTCGAAGAAGACGTTCGGTCAACCAACGATCGCAAGGAGGAACAGGTGTATCCACGTCGGGATTCCCTGCTTCGTCGTCCCATGCTCGTGGCCCTACTAGCCTTCTGCTTTTGCAGAAGGTGTTCATCGATCCACGGGAAATGGGAGGAACTGGTTTATCTTGCCGAGGTTCCCTTTGGTACGTCTAGCCTCCCCCACGTTCCTACTAACCTCCGCGTCGGGAGACGTTCGTCATACGCGGCGAAGGAAGATCAGGCATACCTCGTCAAGACTCCCTCTCTCATAGGATCTCGTCTCCCCTTCTCCCCATCTTTTTTTTTTTTTTTTTTTTTTTGCTTCTTCTTTTTTTTTTTTTTTTTTTTTTTTGAGGGAGGAAAATACGTTCGTCGGTTCCAAGAATAACCACAAGTGATGTCACATATAATGTCATGCGAAGGCGATGGTCACCCTCCTGAAGGGAGGGGTGAGCCCGATCGCTAACTCAAGAAGGTCGGCATTGGGAGCCGATATACAATGATCATAATGTCGCTGAGCAGTCGGTCCTGATAATGGAGATGACAATAGTGTCCGGTCAGGCCGATATATCCGAGCAACGGCTCTCATCCAACGCAGCGCGGGGATGAAACCGGTCTTCAAAAGATAAATATGTCGTGCCGAGAGGCCGAACCTAACATGATAGTGTCGGCAGTGAGAGGCCGACCTGAAAGAATCAAACAACGGTCCTCGTCCGCGATGTGGCGGGGACGAGTCCGGTCTTCAAAAGATAAATATGTCGTGCCGAGAGGCCGAACCTAACATGATAGTGTCGGCAGTGAGAGGCCGACCTGAAAGAATCAAACAACGGTCCTCGTCCGCGAGGTGGCGGGGATGAGGCCGGTCTTCAAAAGATAAGCACGCCGAGCCGAGAGGCCGGTCGTGGTATAATGATGTCGGCAACGAGAGGCCGATATGAAAGAATCAAGCAACGGCCCTCGTCCGCGAGGCGGGGACGAGGCCGGTCTTCAAATATGATAATCACGCCGGTCCGAGAGGCCGGTCGTGATATAATGATGTCAGCGATGAGAGGCCGACCTGAAAGAAATCCAGCAACGGTCTTCGTCCGCGCAGCGCGGGGACGAGGCCGGTCTTCAAAAGATAAACACGCCGTGCCGAGAGGCCGGTCGTGGTATGATGATGTCGGCGATGAGATGCCGAACATGATGTGGTAGTGTCGGCAATGAGGGGCCGACCTGCAATCCAGCAACGGCTCTCATCCGCGCAGTGCGGGGACGAGGCCGGTCTTCAAATATGGAAAGCACGCCGTGCCGAGAGGCCGGTCGTGATATAATGGTGTCGGCAATGAGAGGCCGATCTGAGAAAACAAGCAACGGCCGTCATCCGCGAGGAACGGGGATGAAACCGGTCTTCAAATATGGAAAGCACGCCGAGCCGAGAGGCCGGTCGTGATATAATGGCGTCGGCAATGAGAGGCCGATCTGAGAAAACAAGCAACGGCCGTCATCCGCGATCAACGGGGATGAAACCGGTCTTCAAATATGATAATCATGTCGCGTCGAGGGGCCGGTCATGGTATGATGACGTCAGACGGCCCTCGGCCGTGACGATCTCTTCTAGGCCCTCGGCCTCTGAATGACGGGTGATCGTCTCACGGTTCTCTGTCATGGCATTCGCCTCTAGATCCTCGGCCTCTAGGTGTTCTTCCTAGGCCATCGGTCTCTGGGGTGGAGATGCTCGTCCTACGGTTCTCAACCGTGGTGGTCCCCTCTAGGCCCTCGGCCTCTAGGTGGAGATGCTCGTCTCACGGTCCTCAGCCGTGATGGTCTCCTCTTTAGCTGGCCCTGAACGTCTTCAAGATTCGGGCTGAGCGTCTTTTAATCATTTCGCTCGAGCGCGTCGAGTGGCTTCAGCTGCGCAATAAACATGGTAACGGGCCGCACGGCCCGGCAATATGTATACGCACATAACCATCTGCATGGCTTTCTATTTAACATCCACGATTACCGGCCTATGGGTCATCGTGACCCTCGGCCCGGCTCATCATGCGGGGTTAATGGACGTAGCAGCTCGCGGCAGGGCCAATTAGCAGCCCGCCGAACGTCACATAGAAATATTCATCGGTCTGTGAGTTTTCAAACTCAGACCCAAGTTGGTCGCACCGCCCTCGGAAACACGAGGCCGAGCGCTTTGGTGCCCTCAGGGCCCCACAGGCCGCGTCTGGCAAAAGCCACTTCGCGCCTAATGGCGTAGATGATATCGGGGTACGATCGTCGATCGGGCACGTAGTGCCGTGCGGGCTAATGCGCAACCCTCAAATTAAAACGCGTCGTCGGGGCATCGCCCTTCTGGAGACGCTCAGATCACTTAATCAAGCTGATCGAGAGTGGGCCAAGAGGCCCACAAGAAATCAAATATCCAATAAAATATTGGCCGAACTAACTATCACTAGAGCTTCGCTCCGCATTATTTAATTCGGGACATTTTATCCCCAATAAATAATAGTGATATAACAGGTAATAGTAATGATACTATCCTACCAAAGGCCATTCAGATATGCTCCGCTCACTAATTAAAGCTGATCGGGAGCGGCCAACGAGCCCACAACAACCGGCCATTAATTAAAATGACGGTGAAAATAATTATCACTAGAGCATCGCTCGCACTATTTAATTTCGGGAGATTTCAATCCCTAATAAATAGTGATGATAAAAATACTAGCAATACTAATATTTTAATTAGTTAACTATTAAGTGTACCAACTTAAGAATATGTATATGTACTTAGCTTTGGAGATAAAGCTTCGGTCAGGAGGGATTCTAGAGCCAGATTTGCTCCCTTCCATCGATTTTGACTTTGGTCAAAAGTACCCCAACTATTGATTTCTCAAACTAATGCTCCAAGCCTTTGGTATAGACCTCCGGCCGGTGAGTTCCTCAACTTAATTTGGTTCCTTTGCTATTTGACTTGGTCAAGGTGCTCAAACTTATCTGTCTGCCACCATTCCTCCAGTGGACGTGGCCTTTGGAGAACCAAGGCATCTGATCCATATGCTGTACTTCGTATCTTTTGGGAAGCTAGCTGAAGCATCCATCCACCGACCCGAGGCCAACTGCGTGAGCCCTCATCGACGGCGGTACGGGCGGTTGCCGCGGCGCAAGGGCAGCGACCGAGGCCGGGCCAGGTGGGTCCGGCAGAGCTTCGAGGTGTACCTTCCCTAAGCTTCAAGCCGCCATTAATGGCGGAATTTCCTTCAGGTTGCGTCAGCTCCATGTCGCTGATGACGAGCGGTGGTGTGCGACTGAGGTGGTGGCCGCCTGAAACAGCTGGGGTGCTGCAGCGAGCTTCGTCTGGCGCAACTGACTTCACCGGAGGTCCACCGCGGCGGGGATGGTTGCGACGGCTCCGGTGACCTCAAAAATAGATCTGGAAAAAATTCATATTTGGCTTTCCAGATTTTCGTAGCTTCCTAGCTTCTTCTTCCCTTCCTCAGAATCTTTTTCCTCTTTCTTCCCTTGTTGAAAATCAGTCCATTTTCTGTATCTCTTTTGTGGCAAATCAAGCCGAAGCCAGTAGCCTTTCGTATGGATTTTTTTTTGTAGAAAAACTCAAGAACAGTAGAAACACATAGAATCTTTTTGGACAGATTCCCACAGACGGCGCCAGTGTTGAGTTTAATCCAACACGATATAGTAAATATATGTATAAATGTGTATGAACAAGCCATTTTTACGTGGAAACCCGGAAAGGGAGAAAACCACGGGACTTTTTAGGCTAATGTCCAAGCCCTCTCTTTCTCGTTAGGACTCTCCTCACCATTACATAGTACATTTTGAGCTCCCATTAATGGAGTCTTGTAAGCTATTCTAGAGGAAGAAGGAAGAAGGAAGCCCTTTACATGGAGGGAAAACCTCCTATAAATAGGGGAAGGGGAGAAGGGGCTCTCCACCCTAATGGGCCAAACGGGCCAGAGTGGGCCCAAATGGCTAAAGTGGGCCGGATGGGCCGAAATGGGCCTAGCTGCTCGGGCTCCGTACTACGTAAAGCCTTGGACTCATGAACAGTAATAGGCCGGGATAATATATCCCAACAATACCCTTGTAACTTGTGAAATGTTTTAATTAATATCAAAATCATAAAAAAATAATAAAAATCGAAAAAATACTAAAAATCGTAAAAAAATATAAAATTAATAAAAATATTTTTAAAAAAAAATAAAAAATATATTTTAAAAAAAATTCGTAAAATTAAAAAAAAAAACATTACCACCCTTGCCACCCCCAGCTCTCATCACCGGAGAAAAATATGCCAACATTTTAAATAATGCCATAATGATGGCATATTCAATGAAAATGTTGTCATATTGAATTAAGTTTTTTAAATATCTTTTACGTTTTTTATGATTTTATTATGAATTAAGACATTTCATTATGAATTAATACTCTTAGGGGTATTTAGGGTAGAAAATCAAAGTTTAGTCCTATTTAGGAAATTTAAAGTAGTGGTTTTATTTGTGCTTTTTAGGAACTCATTAGTCCTATTTAGGACAATTTCCGAATAATTAAAGGGCATGCTTATAGACATAGCTATGGAAGAGACAAAGAGTTTAATTATTATCTTAGGGCAATTGAGAAAATGGTTATAAAAATATTAAAATACTATACAAGAAGTGAAAAAAATTGCTCCTGAGATAGACATAAATCCAATTTTTCCTCAAAGGAAACTAATGTAAAGAAAGAAACAACTTGATGAGAGTCGAGATAGCGTGTTAGATATTATTAATCTGTGTTGATGAATCATTGGGGGTGAATTATTTTTATAGATTATTGATCAAGTTATTGCCTCATGAGAAGGAGATTTGAACAATATCTTAATTTTAATAATATTTTTTGGATTTTTTCACTTCTGAGAAAATTGAATTCATTAGAAGTCGCACTTAAAGTTAGAAATGGTTATGTGTGTGTGTCTATAGTCCATTGTAATAACTTAATCATATTAATTTATGTTCAACTTTTATACTTACCTGCAAAATTATAGAAACAATGGCACGAGTATAACTTCTCAGCTTTCACTGGATGAAATTATGACCAAATTTCAAGTGGACAAAAAGAGAGTAAAAAATACTCCGTACGATTTAATTGAAAAACCTCAGGCCAAATACTCCTATTCAATCTACCCGATCAGTGCTTCCTTCCCTGCGTATTCTCTCCCCCAAATATATGCAATTAAGCATCCACGCACCAGATCTTCTCCCCTCTCCCAAATCTATGCATCCACCAGCGCTCCACCGTAGACAGCATAGTTCATTGCCCCCAACCAGCCGTCGTCGCCCCCAGCTCCGTCGCTATCTCCGCCTCAATTCTTTTCTTCGCTTTTCTTTTTCGCCGACGAACAGATTTCGTTGTGCTATGGCGGCTAGAGTTCGGAGATAGACAACGGATACGGTTTTGCAGTGGACGGTGCTAGGTCAATAGACGAACAGAGGCTATAATTTGGGTTTAGGAGGCGGATCGGAAAATAGTGGACAGGGGCGGCTAGGTTTTGGTCTGGGAGCATTGAACGATGTCGACTAAGGTTGGGTCGCGGCGCAGGGAGCTAGGAAGTCGGGGAGGGGCTTGGAAGGTCGTAGGGGGAGCTGAGAGATCGGGGAGGTGATTGGTGGCGACGGTTGAGAAGTGGTGTGGTACTGTGGTGTGGTTTGGGCTACTGGCAGTGGAGCAGGGCTGGGCTAGGGAGTGGGGGAACAGTGACATTAGTGTGGGGTAGTGGTGGTGTGGGGTAGTAGTGGTCACCGACGGTGTTAACTGACCGGAGGGCGGTGGCCGGAATTTGTGTCACTGCGGAGGTGTTAATGTGATTGACGGCGACGGAAATGTCACTACGGAGTTGTCACTGCGGCAATGACACGGGTGGCGGCAGTGACACGAGTGGTGGCTGCATTGACACGGGCGGTGGCCACTGTGACACGAATGGTGGCCGCAGTGACACGGGCGGTGGCCGCAGTGACATGGGCGGTGGCCGCAATGACACGGGCGGTGGTTGCAGTGACACTGGCGGTGGTTGTAGTGACACGACGGTGGCTACAGTGACATAGACGGTGGTTGTAGTGACATGGGTGGTGGTTGTAGTTATAAAAAAACGAACACGCAGTGACATAAAAATTTTGCAGTTACATCATGTTTTCTAATTGCACATATATGACTTTCTTGATCACTTTTTTGCCCTTTTTTAAAAGTGGTCACTTTTTGGATAATTAGTTTAAAATTAGTAATATCCAAGTAAAAACCCCAAAATTATATTGTTATAACTATTAATCATTATTTTATAAATAAATTTAATTTCAGTAGTATTTTGAAAAAAAATCTTAAAGTTCATGTTATTGTCACCTTGAAGGCGCTCTTTAGATAAATAACATTTTTATGTTAATATAAATCATATGGAATTGAAACGTTTTAGAGAATTCTTACTTGAGAAAAAAATGAGATCAATTCATCTTTTCAAGCTTTTTAAGCATTCTAGTTGCTTTCCTTATGTTATTACTTATAGAATAATGTTGACTATTATAGCAATTGTTGCAAGTGGAGAAAAAAAATTCTCTAATCTTAAATAATTAAATGTGTACCTAACAATGTCACAAGAAAGACTTAACAGATTGAGAATGAGTATATGGAAAAGATTGTGTATAAATATTGCATAAAAGAGAGCAAGGAGAAACCCCCTTTTAAAGAAAACACAAATCTATACTCCGTATTAAATTAAACAAAAAGCGTTCCAACAGATTTCATCTAGACTCACTAAATACTCTATGATCAAAATATGAGATATCGCCTCCAAAGAAGCAAAGTGAAGGTAGTATGTGTAAATAAACTAAGGGTTATTTGAGTCTAATTCTTAAAACTGTTTATGCTCCTTCAGGGAACAAAAGTAGATATTGAAGTATTTGGACCATTTGGTTGAAACTGCAGAAATACTCCTGAATGTTCCAAATTACTCCTAGAAATAGATTTTTTAGAAGTTAGAAGAAACCCGCTTCGGACAAATTGATTCTGATTCTACTTCTATTTTTAAATAAGAAGTACAAGCAGAATCAATTCCAACCCCTTAAATCATCATTAAATAAACATCATTAAACGCTTAAATTTTGCCTAGTCTAGTCATTGAGATTTGGTCTTGACATATTACCACACTTGAAGCTTTTTTGGTAGCATCATTGATTATTATGGAAAAAAACACGTCAACTGGCCCAGTGTCTAATTGTCGTCCATCATCCGTCAATTTCCATTTGTACCCTTTCCTTCTTCTACTTACCGGCACTTCCATGTGATCATCAGTTAATGGTCTCTTTTTTCGTGTGCCTTTGATCCCGGCCCTTATTCCATTTTTAGGGATTCAATTCAACTAGTAGTAGTATTATATTCCAATCCATATACCAACAATCACATAAATCTCTCACCATATCTTCATCTTTCTTAATCCAACTCAATTGCTTTGCTTATCGGGAAGGTCTTCTTCTCTCTTTCCTCTCTCTGGATCAGGTTATCTACCTGTCTTTTTTCTCTGTATTTTTTCCCAATTGATTCACACTTTCTTTCCAGTTAGTGGTTGATTTCTGGGTTTATTATTTGAAAAATGCATTCCTCTGTGTGATCTGGCTCTAACTGTTTCGATCTGGTGTTTTTCTGTCGTTATTTCAGTAAAATTTGTTTTCATGTGTTTATGATTGCTGAAGATTTGTTAAATCGGATGTGAAGTGGATCGGATTCGGTGATTTGGAATATGAATATGAATAAATGGGTATTTGGTCACTGGTATTGAAATTGGGTCTCTTTCAATAGTGAAAAAAAAGTGATTGATTTGTTGAACCAGTATGCCTGTGTAGAGTAGGGGTTAAACAAATCAATACGGAGTAGCATTTTATGTTATGCATCTATCATTTTTGGGAGTATGGGTGATTGAAAATGCAATGGATTAAGACATGTCTAGGCTTTTAATTGATGAGATCTAGATGCTGCTTTACTGATATGATTTTTCCCCTGAGTTCTTGTGTTTTTTTGGCATTGGAGGCATCTTTGCCTTTTTTGGCATTTAAGGCCCCATTTGAAGTTGCGATTGTGGCAGAAAATTCTCATTCTTGTCCCAACGCATTCCCAACCAAATTATAGTTTTCTTCCAAAGTTGATTTGAAACGTTAAAAGAGGCTCTAAGGCAAAAGTCAGTGCAATATGACTTTTGCATTTTGAGAATTGCGCAGTAAAAAGCACTTTCCCATCACAATGCTCAAATTTACTTTTCCAGCAAGAATCTTTTTCTACCCTCAATCCACTGAAGCGTGGATGCTATGATTGCCATTATGTAAAGCATATGTTGTCTAGTTAATTCTTCATTTCGTGAGCCTTTTCTTTGTTTTTTGAGCCATCATAATGTTTGTTTAACTTTGCAGAACAGAAGGCCATGTGAGTTGTTTGAACAAATCAAAAGCGCTTGGGTTATTTATTAAGGTAAATTTGGGGACTTATTGTGACATGAGTAAATGCAAAGGTTGTGGGAAATTGGGAAGAATGGCCAGGGACATGAATGTGGGCCCATATCAAATATCTCTACTTCAGTCTCCTGTTGTGTCTGTTTGGGATTGTGTTGTGCGCAAGATGAGGTACTCATTCAGACCTGAGTGGGTGTAGCCTTGCATATGTCCCAAGTGTTTTTTCCTCTCTTTTTCTTCTAATACAATAGTTGTATTCCAAACACAGTAGATATCATTTATATGATGTTGAAAGTTATAGAAGGAAATTAGGTGTATACGCGTTAGGAATTTAGCAAGAGAGTTAATTAGTCTTAGAACTTTAGAATCTCATTATGGAGTGTGGCGGCAAAGCACCGTTTGATGGTCGAAAAGCGAAGAAGAAGCAAGTGAAGGATGAGTTGGACCGGATGAAACAGGCGGAGAAGAAGAAGAGACGATTGGAGAAGGCATTAGCCACATCTGCAGCTATTCGTCTCGAACTAGAAAAGAAGAAGCAGAAAAAGAAGGAAGAACAAGAACGGCTTGATGAAGAAGAAGGTGCTGCAATTGCTGAAGCAGTTGCCCTTCATGTCTTAGAGGATTCAAATGAGGTAATCGTGCCAAAGGGTGTCGGAAATTTCAGCATAGTTGGAAGCAGATCAGGATTCCCTCTTGAACATCACCACTCCAGATATTCTTCATTCGATGAAGGGACTAACTGGATCTCTTCCAGTGACCAATATTATGGATCAGCTTGGAACAATTATGCCTGCCCGGAGTTTACAGACTATGGAAATTGGAATATGACTGAGTTTTCGTCACTTCAGATTGCTGATGATGCACAGGCTGGCACATACATGTTCAATCGGATGTTATGAGTTTTTTATGTAATGTTTTTTCTCAAGAAAAAAAGAAAAGGAATTGTGGTTTTGAATAATGTTGTACATATTACAAGCAGACACTTATCATGTTTGCCAGTGTTGTTGTTTGTACTATTTGTTATAATTGTGTGTAGTAGATGTTCCCCTTGAGCTTGTATTGATGTGAAAGATGTTGATGTTTATGAAAGTTGCCTGGACTTCAATTCATTGTCTGTTGGATTCCAGAGTGGGCAGCATTGCTACTTTTGGTGGGGTAGCAATGGAGTACTTTTTAGCCTCACTATCATAACAAGATGAGCATGTTCAAATCTGAGTTTGCTACTTGCTAGTACCCATCTTTTTTGGCATTTGAGTGAGTTTGATGAGAATGTCGGATGAAATAAAATACGGAGTAAAATAAAAACTAGTGCATGAGGTTTTCTTGTTCATGACATTATTGAAATGGAAATGTATAAGATATTCCCTTTTTTTAATTATTAAATAAATATATTGTGTACTCCGTATTATTATCTTGGTTCTTAATTAAGTGGCATGCTTGTTATTTGACATTTTTCTATAAATATTACGTAGTACTAAATTTAATTTAAAAAACAAAAATATGACTTATTTTTTAAAAAAAATAAAAAAAGTAATATATTTAGTGATTAATTCTTAGTCATTCAACATTGTAAGTGACATTTCATTCTGAAATACATTATAGTGACTTTTGTCCAATTATGTCTACACAATTAACCAAAAAACATAATTAATCATATTTTATCAGAATAAACTCTATTAGTAATACACATGCCATTTTTTCTTGTTATTTTAGTTAAATAAGTGAAAATAATAATTAGGATGACAAAAGTGTAATAGAGATGGAGAAAAGGTAGCAAAGAAACATTAGAAAAGTGTGAAAGAAAAAGGAAAAAGAATATAAAGAGGTGTCGTTAAAGTTTTCAAAAATGGAAATCGTCTTGAGTTAAAGAGTAAAAACTTCTTTAAATAAACTAATAAAGTGTCACTTATTTAAGAACACATGGGAATTACATTTTACATACGGAGTTTATGTTAAAAAATAATTCAAAGGAATTGTTCCTTTCAACCTTAAAACCAACAAATTATTCTTCAAATTGACTGTGTTTTTTAGTTTATTTATAAGGGGTGGAGCCCGGGCGGTCACGGTGGTCGATCAGCCAACCCCGATGAAAGTTTGAGTGTATAAAGGCCTGAAATATCTTCGATTTGATATATTATGTCCCATGTAACTCATTACGAGTACAAAATTATGACTTCTGGAAAATCAACGTTATCTAAACGTAAAATCAACAAAACTTGATGCTTAATATGGATTATTTTCCCAAAATTTTAAAATAGTGTATAATTAATTCGTTTTTTACGTGACATGACTCAGAAACAGAACAAAGACAATCTATCTTATTGTTACGAGTGCCTATTTATCTAAACTACATATGAAACATTCAACTCGAACATTGTCTAAAAACGATCCACCATTTTCATTTTGTATATAGTTGATTTTCGACCCCCATGGACTGTTTTTCTACCTCCGCCACTGTCCACTCTATTACTTCTTCTGTCTCATTTTATTTGTCTTATTTTTTTGTATTGTCTCAAAATGAATGTTATGTTTTCATTTGTCGAGAAATATGTGATGTACTCCCTCCGTCCCATTTTGGTTGTCCTACTTTTCTTTTTGGGTTGTTCCAAAATGAATGTCTTGTTTCCTTTTTGGCATGAAATATGTGGTTCTTATCAATTCACTTTATTCTACTCAAATCTCAACCACAACTTTTATTATTCAACCACTTTATTAATAATCGTGTCAAATTGAAAGTAGACAACCATTATATTATGAGACGGAGGTAGCATAACATTTCACTTTAGTACTCTACTTCTACTTTTTACCTAATGTGCTCAATAGTTGTCAAAATACAAAACATGACATCTAAGTGCTACTAAGTAGCTTGTCCAAATCATGGCGTGGAGCTGTCCAAGTGAGGTACTACGTAACACTTTTTTGGTGTAGTGGATGGCTAGAGGCGTGGAGCTAACTTAATGAGAAGAATCCCTGCCAAGGGGCCAACCATAAGTATGATACTCCGTATGTAAATTCCTTATTTCCATGTAGATTAGATAGTTGGTGGAATAATTTCACATGAAGTCAACTCACCAAATCCAGATTTGCGATGTGTACACTCTTCATCCCAATTGGAAGAATGTTTCAATTCGACTAAACTAAACTTATACGACGTTTTTTGTTTGGAAATGAACTTCTACGCCTATTATAATATTTGTTCATAATAATGTCGACATTTTTTTATTGGGATACAATTCGAATTTGTTACCTTCTCTTTGTCAGATGAGCAGAGATGTCATCATACCACAAGATAACCCTGTTGAAGTCGTCGTTGTCAGGCGCTGAAATGCGCCTCAAATTTCATCTTCCGCCGCTAGTTTCAGAAATCTTAATCCACCTGTTTGACACCGCCACTGCTAGATTACTCCGTCGCCAATGGACTCACCCGTTTATGTAAGGGAACTAGAGGGCAATTAATTATATTAAGTAATAAAAGGGTATTAAGAATAGAAAAATAAAGTTTAGTTCAATGGAAAATTTAGCTTGACTCCTACTTAGGGAAATGGGGTATGTTTTACTCAGGGACAATTACTTTAAGCTCATCTATACTTCTTGGTGCTTATTACTACTACTACGGATGTTTTCTTTTAGACTGTTTTCAGTCCCAGACCAGGCAAACTAGATCAGACCAGACTTCCGTAGTTACAAAATACACAGAGACCATACATTATTACATTTACCAGACCAGATTAAACCAGCAAATTTCGGTTAAAAAAAACATCTTACAACCCTATTCAAAACTTCTTTGAGTTTAAAGTTCTTATATACAATCAACCATATTAGTGCATTCTATATTTCTAGTCTATTGTGAATCATGAGCAAAAAAAACCATTTTTGATCATTTTTTATCATATGAGCTGTGAGCACTAAATCAATTTCACTTATGTTTATATCTTTGATTTTAACCACATTTCCAACATGATCAGAGCATCTCCAATGCTACAATGTGCACGGTGCACATGTGGCATGAGAGAGATAGACACAAAATATTCATTTTGACATTTCTCTCTCCTTCTTTCCACGGTCTTATGCGTTTTTGGTAAGTTTGTGTCTGCAATGTCAACCACAATGTCTACATCTAGACATTGTGCTTGACATTGTGAAGAAAAACTTATCAAAATGATGCAAGATCTTTTAAATAAGGAGAGAGAGATTCTATTTATTGATTTTTAATTGGTTGTTTCTCATGCCACGTATGCACCGTTAACGTTTTAGCATTGAAGATGCTCTCATCATCCGCTGTCTTCTCGACTTCTCGTGATTGCTTAGACAAAAAAGGCTTGAGAAATGGAGGAAATCCATTTTTGATAATTTGACTATGTATGATTTTTTATAACGGTGAGAGTTAACGAACTTTGACTCCAAAAGTAAAAATAAAAACTTTAAAAGGGTTATTGGGAGCAATATTTAAATCATGTTGGTAATTCAAATATCACTGCAAAAATACGCCCGGGAAAATGGTCAAATCAATGACGAAATAGCGACCGTTTTGTGACGGTTCTGTGGCTCATAATGTGTCACAAAGTTGAGATATAATTACCGTCAGAATTTCATTTCCATTTTGTCACAGCCTGGTCTGGTCTTCAATTTCTCATCTCCATTATGTCGTTTTTAGCTTCTTCTCCAAGTTTCCTATATATAAAATATACACAATCAATGTTAGAGAAAAACAAAGAAAGATTGCGATATTTTATTACTGGTGTAAATAGTTTTGTTGAATTTGCTCGAATTCAACATGAATTTATGAGTAAAGAAAACATTTATTGTCCATGTTAAAAATGTAAAAATTGACGTTTCTATGACAAACTTCATCTTTATTGACATGGATTTGTTGCAAATTATAATATTTGGTCAATGTCATGGTGAATTACTACAATTTCAAGCACCACCATTATTGAAGAATCAAATTTCTTCCTCTCAAGGAGATGAAAGTCAGGTTGCCCACATTTCTTCAGCTCCGGGAAGTCAACCACAAACACCTTGGGATCAAAGATTGCTTGAAGATATTTTGCGGGATATGTGCCACCGGTGATGGACTCCACGAACTGTATTCCACAAACCATAGGTGAGGGTTATAATAATGATTCTCCAAATGTAAATGATGTGTCTTATTTGACAGATCGATTTCAAAATGTTCTACTAGCAGCAGATCAACCTTTATATGAGGGATGTCTAGAGGAGTCACAATTACAATTTGTCTTTGAGGTAATGAGTATAAAATCCAACTTTAATGTACATCGGGATGAAGTAAATTGATGGTTGGTACTATTCGGACGATATTTAGCTCGTGGCTGCACTGCCCCAAGGAATTACTATGAGACCAAAAAACTTACTTCCAACTTGGTCTTCCAGTGATCAATATTGTTGCTTATCGTAAAGGGTGTATGTTATTTTGGAAGGGTAATAAAGAGTTAACACATTGTTCACTTTGTGGTGAGCATCAGTATAAGTTGCAGGAGGACGAACAATGTGAAACCAAATGATGAAAATCGGACGGTTGTTTCTGTATTGAAATATTTTCCCTTGACACCAAGACTGCAGATGTGGTTATATGTGTCACGACAAAACTGAAGAGATGATGTGGTATGCAATGCACGAAGCAACCGTGATTTTGATGAGTCGTCCTTGTGATAGTGATGCATGAAAAACACATTGATATGATGTATCCGGACTTCGTTGTGGAGCCTCGAAATGTATGACTTGGCTTATGCACTGATGGTTTCGCCGCACATGGCCGGACAATATGGTGCATCGTACTCTTCTTGACCCGTCATACTAACGACGTACAATCTGTCTCCCGGTATGTGCATGAAATACCCCTCCATGTTTTTGTCGCTCATTATTCCGGGGCCAATATGTCCAAAAAATAAAATTGATATATTACTCACAACCTCTTGTTGATGAATTGCAACATTTGTGAGGAGATGGTTCAAATTTCATGTTCTCAATGAGTGACATTCTAGTGTGGATATACATGATTTTTTGCATATGGAATGTTGTCTGGTTGGAGTACAATAGGACTCTTGGGGAGTTGGGGGTACCCTATTTGTATGGAAGGTAACAAAGCAAC